AGAGAGAGAGAGAGAGAGAGAGAGAGAGAGAGAGAGAGAGAGAGAGAGAGAGAGAGAGAGAGAGAGAGAGAGAGAGAGAGAGAGATGGAGAGAAGATGGTGTGCTGAAAAGGGAATTGTTTTCTTCGCATCATCTGTTCAATTTGGATCTCTCGCTTTGGTGTCCTCAATTGCGACAGTTTTTTTACTTTCCTATCTTTTCTTGGATTGATGTATGAAGCATCTTTATCTCCCCCACCTCTTCGTTTTGATTGTCTGAAGGATTGGTGATTGTAGAAACAAGGGCGCAAGAAATAAACGCCTTGCGGATGTGTGAAGATATGTATGTGAATCCGCCCACTTGTGACATAGTAATGCCCTTGTGATGATCCGACGTGTGATTCGTTGTTTCCCGCAAACCAACCGGGATCGAGGTAGATATATGTACAACGAGCCGGGCGCGGTCTGTGTATATGTCTGAGTATGGGTTGGATTTTTCTCATGCCTGAATTGCACACAATTGATATATCTGATGTATAAGAACGCAATGACCATCCGATCTATCTGAATTGATTCGGATTCGGCGGGAACCGGTCAGGTGCATGCACATATATGAGTGATCGCTAAACGACAGTATGAGTTAAGCCCCCCTTGCCCAACATGGATGTTCGCCTGCCATTCTGGATCATGGACCGTGCATGTTTGAGGACCCCGAGTACAGGGAATACTGGGGTAACAAACAACTCTTCCGCCGATCGAAATTACGACTTCCAATTTACTCCTGTCAAACGGAGGACGATCGGCAGTGTGCTCGGGACTTTCACCAGGCCCTTGGACGGAATTCCCGAACTCGAGATTACCCCAACCCCCGTAATTATCAGTACCATCTTACATCGGGGTTCGTCATAATTGAAACCGACTTCCCTCCATTCTATCTCCTTCTCCCCTATCACCATCTGACGGTAGTTCCCTGGGATTCGATCACGCACTGCTGGCCCCGAAGGCCGTGTTTTGAGTGCTATCAGTACAACACCTACCGGGCGACGGGATTCGTACAACGGACCCGCTTTGAAGCTGAGCACCGAGAACACAGTCTCTGGCTGACGCCGTTCACGTCAGACTCGCTTTTCCATCCCCGAACCTTGACACAGGAGATCTCAGTTCCAACCTGGGACTCCACCCCACTTTCCTAAAATCCTTGGCACACCCCTACTTTGCACTGTTGGGCCCCCTATCACTCCGAAAACAGGAAGTTGTGTTGGGCGTGTGGTGGGCATCACAGCCCTACATAGGCTATGTTCCCAGGACAATCATCTGATTTGGGCAGACAGGAACAGAGCCCGCTTTGATAACAGGCCATACTCTGATGTGGAAATGAAAGGGGCAATGAAGAGTGGTCTCAGGCGAGCAACCTGATAGCTCGGGGTGGCGTAGGAGAGTTGGTTGTGGCAGGGGKTCACGGCGCACCCGGTGGTGGTTCTTGCGGATGTGAGCCCAAGGCAATGGCTTGGACTGGGTCCACAGTACCACAGCACTCCCTGTCTGGTTTTGTGCAAGTGGCTGCAGTAGTAGAGTTGAGGTTAACAGTACATTCTAGGGGATGGTAGGCGGAGGCAAGAACTAGGGAAGGATTCGTAGCAGTAGGCTGGGGGAGCGGTAACTAGTAGGGGGACCAGCGATGTCATTCAGAGAGGGGGAGGTTAGAGAGTGTGGACTCTGTGAGGGTATAGGGGGCCATTTGGTAATTACAGACACAGTGTTCTGTTAGGAGAGGGTCAGCGTTGAAGGGACGAGGTTCCGGTGGGTAGGTTAGACCTGGGAGCCGTAATAGGCTCTGACAGTGTAGTACTTGGGGTAGGGTAGAGGTTCTGTTCTGATTGGTTACTCTTTACACCATTATTGATGGAGTTTGCAATGGCATGAGGTGGAAGTCTGATTGGTTGCATTGGTGATTGGTTGTGGTTAATGAAGCCCTCTGGGACATCCGTTAAAATTGGAGTGATTCAGAGAAGATTAGCATAGCCCCCGCACAAGGATGACACACATAAATTGAGAAAAAAGATAAGAGAAAACTACGGCACAGTCAGGGTTACAGTTTGTAATTGCATTTGGAACTGCGTTTTAGTAGTTTAGTCAGGGTCCGAGATTCAATTGCATTTAAAACTGCGTTTTAGCACTTTGAAACTCGGGCTGGCTTTTTCTAGCAGTTGAGTCAGGCAGATGGCCGTTTTGTTTTTTTTTTTGGTTGCGTGCCGTAACACGCCGTGCCGCTCCGCGGCTGCGAAAAAAACAAAAAAACAAAAAAAAACAGCCCCGTGGTTGGGCCACAGCCAGATGTCTCGGCCAAAGCCCAGACTGGGCACGGCCGAGATGTCTCGGCCACACCCCTGATTGACCACGTTCGAGATGTCTCAGCCACAACCCAGATTCGCAGGTACTACTCTTCACAGGCAAACGCGAAGTCTCAAGAGTAGCCTACTCCGAAGAAGTGGGGGGCTCGGGGCAGGGATGGAGGCCAAAAACAGAAAAAAGAAAAAGATGAAATAAAAAAATAAAGAAACGAGGAACTTCGAATCCACCTAAGTCAGGAAGGCCCTCACCGCACCAGTGCTTTGAGGAATGTATCTTGCCAAGAAGTGAGGAAAATGAAACAGGTCGTTTTCCTTTTTTGTTTCTTGTGTGAGGTCCTTGTAGCGCCCTGCCAGCCAGGCAGGGCGCAGGGCGGATTCTACGCGAGGCACCTACTATGCCTCGCTTCATTCAGTTCCAGACAAACACTGTAGCATCCTGTATAGGACCGCAATCACAACATAAGGGATGTTTTTTTTTTTTTTTTTCAATCTGTTGTTCGTGGATAGACGAGGGCCCTGACTGAACTGCCAAATCGCAGTTTCAAGTGCACTTGAAACTTGAAACTTGGGCCCTGACTAAACTGCCAAATCGCGAGTTTCAAGTGCACTTGAAACTTGGGCCCTGACTAAACTGCCAAATCGCAGTTTCAAGTGCAATTACAAACTGCTTTCGTGACTGCGCCGTAGTTAGCCCAAAAAAAAAAAAAATAACATCCATATGAATGATTAGGGGGTTGTCCCCAAAAAAACAGAAAGGGTGGTCGGGGGGGCGCGTTGCGGCCGAGCGAATTAGCGTTAGAGCGCTCCGCTCCGAACCAACGTAGGCGACGAAGTTACCACACTGACTTCACGCCTGTACTTCGTCGTTACCTCCGCCATCGCCGACGGAGAACGAGAGGTCCTATTCTCTCACACATCGTGAGCTGCGACTAGGTCGACAGGATCCTCATCGAAGTAGCCGATACCCCCGCAGAAGGTCATCTCAGCGAGTGCGTTCGGTTCAAGTGGCTTTCCTTCCAAGCGCATCCATAACTTCAAGCGGGTTTACTCTGCTAGGTTAGATGGTCGATAGTGTTTGCACGGATTCACCGCAGGTAGCGGGAACATCTCATAGACCGCCGAGGCAAGCGGTAAGATTCTCTAAGTTGGTTCCTCCCAGGGACAGGTGGGGGTCAGTGAGGGTGACTAGATGACGCTCCGTTCACTTTAAACTCTACCTCTCTATCACAGGGCCGAGACCCATTTCCTGGTGATAGAGTGGGAGGGGGACTTGATTCCACTTAGTGTGGAGATCGTGTCAGCTTTCCGCCCTCATCCCGAGGTTATTACCTCATTACCAAGTGTACTTGATGAACAAAGGGAACCGGTCTTGTAGACTATCACGGCCGTTAGTACGCGTTCGCGGGTGTAATACATTCGCGGTTACTATTGGTAGATAGCGGGGCTTGGCAGTCAAGGGAGTTTTTACCATCTAGAGGCGAAGTACAAGAAGTATCAGCAGGGAATTTTAGTCGAGAGTCTGTTTTTCGTTAATACGAGCCATAGTGAGGTAACCTATCTCGCTTGATGGACCCTGCTGCCCATCGGGGGCGATTTCACTCAGGCGATCTCATGGGCGCGACACAATAGATAGGTATCTTCCTATTCTCAGGCCCGACTACGGTTTTTAGGTGAGATCGAAGAATTCGTGGCGGGTCGTTCCGCCCCCAGACAGTACACAGGACTACATACATCGGAAGTCTATGCCTTGGTACTCTGCAGGGTGAGCGGTCAGGTGCTTTCACACGATCCCAACCGCGGCCACCGCCTTAACCGCGCCTACTCTGCACAGGGGAGAGGGCTTCATCGGGGACTCAGCATGACAACGTACGGCATCACCTGGCGGGTCGGAATTCGGGGGTTCCGCTCCCCGGAAATACGCGCCTAGCAGGATAAGCCTACACCTGGACGGCCCAACGGACTAGATCCCTGGGACGACTCTCATTGTAACCCTGCTGGGGAAGTGATTAGGTGCTCTCGCTGAGTGCATCCGCTGCCATCACTACCGATGGAAGGGGTAGCGAGTCAGAGGGAGAGGCCCCCGATCCCGCCAGCAGATTACTGGGAAGTAGAAGACAAGGTTCGTCACTCGCTTGGTCAATGTTACGACGAGGAAGTACTTCAAGTTACCCCAGATGTGGGGGAGGTGGTCAGCGACGAGAAAGGCAAGCGCTTTAAGGTTAATGGCTCCTTGGGTGAGATTAAAGAGAGGTGGCTGAAGGAACGTACGGTCATCTTCGTCTTCTAGGACGAATCAAGGAACCTAGCACGGACTGTGAAGGAGGATCTAGTGAGAGCGTACTGAAGCATGTCCACGCCCCTGAGATGGACAAATCTCGGCCAAAACTGATGAACATGAAGTTAGATATGGATCCGCAAGCAAGGTTTCGAGTGGAAGACTCACTGACGATTGAATCCCTTAAAGGTGAGTTGTGGAAGGTGGAGGTGGCGACTCCGAATTCCAACTGTTGTCGGAAGTGTAGGTGGTACTTCCACACTAAAGACAACTGCCCGAGGAATGCCACTGAAAATTGGCCACGTCGTCAGTGGGCTAACTCCAGGCTCCCCCGTCAAAGCTCTACACTGTCAGCGGCTTCGGCTAACGCAGCTCCTCCACCTGCAGCAACATCAATAGCCTCAAGTCAATCGGCACAAGTAAGATCAAACAGGGATGACAAAGGGATTGGGTCTCTCCATCATGGTACCGCAATGATCCGAGAAGATCACCACACTCAGGCGTACAACAGTGGGGAACAGCAGCTCCATGCAGCAGCTCCGCTTCCAGGCCCCCAATTTGCCATTCCTCCACTGAGCCGCCCAGATGTCTATCAGGCACCGTATCATACCGGCCTCTCCCACCCCCCGGCTCCCCAACCTTAGTGGTTTATGCCCCCTCAATGGCAGGGACAGTACCCTCACCTGTTTCCCCCCCCTCCTCCCATCCACCAACAAACCTGCCAACTAGTCACGGCCGACACACACCTTGCTCCAGCATACTCAGGTGCTCAACCCCCGCCAAGTCACAACTACCATCAACCATCCTTCGCACACTTCCCAGGCCCTCTGTACGCTGAGGACGGTAGAATGCTAGGCCAAACAGACCAGTGGCAACCCCTTTCATCAAGGCCGCTGGGACAGGGGACAGAGGTGCTTTACCGGGAGGTCGGTGGAGCCAGAGGAGTGGGCATGGAACCGCAGTACTCCGCGTTAGTCAGTACTCGAGTCAGGGAGAGTGGGCGACCAGGAGGGGAAACCTCGATAGGAAAAGTGACCGATGGGAGGGCAGAAAGATCCTTCATTTCAGCCTCCTCCAAATCGAGGGTGGTTATGGGCAGTGAGCTCGTAGGTGACGATGCAGCCAGGATTGTTACAGGTAGGGGCGAGGCGGAAGGACTGTATGCTGAAGGCTCAGAATCCTCAACAGACAGCTCAGCGGGTTCACACAGGAGGGGAGGCTCGGATACCGGGAACAAGCAGGGAGGGCAGTGCAGAGGCAACCCACTTTACCAGGGGAAGGAGATAGCTTACGAGAACAGAGATAATGTAGAGAGGAGGATAGTTCCCCTGGTATGTTCAAGAGGTAAGGACTCTGTCTTTTTCCTAGGGATGGCCGATGAGGAGGGCATGCGTTACTTGCCGTCTGAAGCAGTGGCAAAGACCCCGTCTCCGATCGAGATTGTATCCCACACGAAGAACCTTTTTGGTGACGCCTTCCCGCTGAGGATTGTCCCTAGATCAACGATGATTAACCTGGTCATTGAACTACAAGACAAGACCTACAAACTGTACTTCCCTCTAATAGATGCTAGGATCGACTCAGTCATAGCCAACTCCCTTTCCCAGGCAGGAGTCAATTGGTTTCAGTTACATGCAGTAAGAGAGCTGAATAGCCATGAATTAGAATCGATAGCTATCACGACTGAGATCTCTGCGTTGGTACTATTGAACGTCAATGACAAGTTGGGGATAGCAGGAAACCTTCATTCCCAGTTCCTGGCAAACTCGCTGCTAGAAGCTTGGCGCTCGCCGTCTCAGTCCAGCAACTCAAGGTCCTCAAGGCGATCCAGTCCGATGCTGAGATCCCCGCAGCCGGAGCAGGCAAGGTGGGCGGATCAGTCCCAGTCACATGTAACCCCCCCCATCCAACATCTAGGGGATGATCAGACCCATCATGGTTAAGCTGACACTACCCACGTGGAACGTCAGGGGGATGGGGGACACCTCGGACAGGGAAAAAAGGAAGAGGATCAAGAGCTGGGTGGCACGGGAAAAGGTGGACTGTATCTGCGTGCAGGAATCGAAATTGAATGAGGGAAAGCTCGCAACATTGAACAACTGGTGGGAGGGACCGCAGGTCTGGTCCCTGCCTCAGGGCACAAAGGGTGGAGTAGGCTTACTCCTTCATCGGAAATGGCAACCTCAGAAGGTAGACTCAGAAGCGGATCTGTGGGGTAAGTGGGCTTGGATCAGATAAGGTCTAGGTCAATGGGACTGGGTGATCATAACGGTGTATGCCCCGTCAGAATTACACTCCCGCTGCACCTTTTTTCAGAATCTGCACGCGGTCATTCCCGCAGCAGACCGGCTAATCCTGACAGGGGATTGGAACGTCTCTCTTGATGAAGCCTTAACTGGGGGCACGCGCACAGCAGGGAGGAAGGATGTGGGACTGTTACTGGACCTGATACAAGACAAAGAGCTGATGGACCTGTTAAGGGCGTTAAACCCTGATGAACTGGGCTTCATCTGGTACTCGAATGTAAGGAGGGACAATGGCGAAGTATGCAGACGGCGGCTAGATTTGTTTGTGGTAAAGAGCTCCCTGGCACAGCAGGTTACGGTGATCAGGGCCATTTCCGACTCCCTCTCGGATCACAAACCAGTGTTAGCGGAGGTAGTGGTGGACTCCCTAGGTGAGAGGGGGAGAGGTTATTTTAAGTTGAATTCCCAAAACCTGGAGGAAAGGGGTCTGAGAGAGTGGGTTGCGGAGCATATGGAAGCCTGGGAATCGGCAAGACCGCATTTTCCCTCTACGGCGGAATGGTTGGAAGGGGGATTAGCCACAATCTCGGGGATGATGGACATCTCCTCACGGCTTCTAGCTAGGGAACGGAACAAAGAAGAGGAGGCTTGTAGGAAGGCAGTGGAAGCAGCGGAGAGGAGGATGGAGATTCACCCCATTTCAGAACTGGTCTGGGCCAGAGAAAGGGAAAAGCACTTGGCAAACTGGGACAAACTGCAACTGGACAAACAGGGGAGGTGGGAGGAAACTCTGAAGCTCAAGGGCATTATGGTTCAAGATCGACTCACCAAAGAAACGTTCCGCAAGCTTCTACCGAGCGCCTCCTTCCATCAGGTAGTGTAGCTGGACCATCCGTTTGATCAAACAGCTCCTCCGGCCACAGGGTCAGCAGAAATGTTGGAGTACGCAAGGCTGTACTACTCGGATATCCTCACCGCACGCAGGTGGGAGGACACTGTACACTCAGACTTGTCTTAAGAGGTGGATATGTCGAAGGACACGGAGGTGCAGTTGACTACTACGGAGAAACTAGTGCTAGACAGACCAATGACCTCAGAGGAATTGCAGCATACACTCAAGGACATGGCGAATGGCAAGTGTCCGGGTATCAACGAACTGACGGTAGAGTTCTACCGAGCATGCTGGGGGGCGTTCGCACCTGCGTTGGTGCAGGTATACAACGAGGTGCTAACAGGTGGCAATCTGGGAGAGCTGATGACGCATGGCGTCATCTCAGTGATGTTCAAGAAGGGCGACAAGGCCAATGTTAGGAACTACAGGCCAATCTCGGTTCTCAACGTGGACTACAAAATTTTAGCCAAGACGGTAGCAATCCGACTGAGGAATATTCTCCCAAGGTTGATCGAGAGGGACCAAGGGGCGTTCGTCCAGGGTAGGTCTATTTTTGTAAATATTCTGACTGCTATTGAGTCAATCGAGGTGGTACAGGCGGAACACAGGGATGTTGCGATTCTGCTGTTAGACATGGAGAAAGCGTACGACAGGGTAGGCTGGTCCTTCGTTCTCACTACCTTGAGAAAGATGGGTTTTGGAGAGGGTTTCTGCAGATGGGTGATCGCCCTATACACTTTCTCAACCTCGTCAGTTCTGGTTAACGGCCACCTATCCCGCCCCTTCCACCTCACTCGTTCCCTGCGGCAAGGCTGCCCTCTCGCCCCTCTTCTCTTTGTCCTTCAGCTAGAGGTACCTCTGAACTGCATGAGGAAACATCCGCTGATTCGGGGCCTGAGACTGTCGGCGGACAGGGATTGTAGGGTGAAAGCCCTAGCGGATGATCTCTTCATTGTAACAGAAGAACACCCTCTCCTCCCTGGTGGCTGTCAAGTCAGTCCTAGTGGATTATGCACAGCTGTCGAAGGCGCAGGTAAACTGGAACAAGTCCACTTACCTCCTCCCTGCAGATTTTTCCCTCCAGGTTCAATGGGGCATGCAGCGAGTGGACCCAGCGAATGGTGAACGCTTCCTGGGGGTACTGGTTAGCACTCAGATCATGAGCTCAGCACAAGGTCTCATTTTAAAACAGAGGGTGGCAGCTAGACTTAAGGCCTGGGGACCGGCCTGGCATCTGTCTCTGTTTGGGAGGGCCCTGGCAGTTAATGTGGCCTTGTTCGCCCTGTTGTGGTTTGTAGGCGCGGTCAGAGAGGTGGCAGATACTGTGCTGTCAGTGATTAAGAGGCTGGTGTCCAGGTTTCTGTGGAAACCCCGAGCAGTGGCGGAAGGAGGGTTCCTAGTCAAGGTGGCGTGGGAGCTGATAACGTACCCCAAAGACCAAGGGGGCCTAGGCCTGATCGACCCGAAAAGGAAGAACCAGGCCCAACTCAGAGCCTGGGTTGCGAAACTGGCCATGGCCCCTCATAAAGACGATTGGATCCTATTGGCAGAAACCCTGCTGATGAGAGAGTGGCAGGTTCTCCGGCCAGAAGACGTAAGGGGGTGCTTTTTTGTGAAATCTTTCATGAAGAAGAAACTGAAATCCGAATTCTGGGAGGCTGTGAGAAAAGCCTGGGTCGCTCACCCCCTGGACCTGCAGACCCCGCCTTGCACTAAGGAAGAAGTCTTGAGACAATGCTTGTTCGAAAACTCAAGGATATTAGCTATTGACGGCAGCGAGTTCTCTGCAGGCCCGGAGCCGGGGGCATTTGGGAGGGCATGGATCCGCAGGGGCGTCACATTTGTTGCTGATCTGTGGTCGACTGTGCTGGGGACGTGGAAGCCGTTGGAAGAGGTCAAAGCTACTCTACATAACCTACGCTCAGTGGAAACAAATTGGCAGGCACGTATTCAGGCTATTCCCCCAGCTTGGGCGGCTCTGCTGGGCCCAGAGGGTCTTGACCCCCCTGGTACCTGGTATGCAGGCACTACCGTGGACAGTCATCCGGCGGCATGGAAGTTACTCAGTCTAACCACATCGGGATTCAGAGAAGTACAGAACTGGAGGGTAGCGACTGCGGATGGGTTGCTAGAGTTCATTGAGGAGGTGACAGTGAAAGAATGGGCTAACCCTCCACAGATTCGAGTGGTGGAGAAAAGGGATGGCTTCGGGAGGGTGGTGCAGTCTAGATGGGTGGGGACTGTCCCACTCAGGAAGCTAGGTGTTGACCCTCTAGCCTGGGGGTGGAAGGACGACCAAGGAGGGATACCATCGTCTCAGGGGATGGACCTATCTGGCTTTTCCTCTCAGGTTTCTGATCGCCTAGCGGACAAGAGGACCAGGTCTCCAGCTTCAGTGGCGATCTCCCGCTGGAGCGCAGTGCTGCTGGAGGACCTGCAAGGATCAGAGAAGAATTTCAGGAAGCTTTGGAATGTCCTCCTGGAACTACCAAACGTTAAGCACGCCAGCCTCTTATGGATGCTGTCCATGCAGGTCACTCCCTCGGCAGTATGGCTATGTGGTAGGGGTGTGGAAGTATCCTTGGGATGTACCAGATGCACAGTCTCCCTGGAATCCACCCGCCATCTGTGGTGGGAGTGTCCGGCTTCAAAACGAGTGTGGGCATGGTGGGCCCAGCACTGGCAACAGATGGGAGGTAAGGATATTGTGTGGGAAGAGAGATGGGTCCTGCTTGGTTTGCCCCCGGAGAGCAGCACTGGGAAGAGAGGTTGGGTGTACATTGCGCAAGTGGCAAGGGCGGTTATCTGTTCAGTAATCTGGGCTGACAGAAACCGCTCCCGCTTCGAGAAGAGACCCTATTCTGATGTCGAACTCAAAGCGGCCATCAAGAAAGGCATCCGGCAAGCTATCGTTATTGACTGGAGAAGACGGGCCGAGAAAGGTACTGCTTCCAGGCCCAGACTGTGGTGGTTTTTGAGAACCTGGGCGGTGGAAAACAGACTGGCAGGAGTACATAGATCCAAAGGGTTGGTCCTGTCCAAGTGGCTGTTCGACCCCCCCAGAGGTTTTAGTTGCAAGCGATTCCGTTGTAGATTAGTCATCCACCACTTCGTCCAACCAGGGCACTCGGTTGTATAAGGTCGCGGTAGGCCTCTAGGTGAGTGTCTGGAGAGTAGGGTAGGTAGGTGTCCAGTTGGCCGGTTTTTAGTCCCACCTGGTCACAGCTTAGTGGTAGGTAGCTAGGGAGGTGGTTTAGTCTGAGTTACCATTCAACGACTACATTCATCAATGAGTATTTGTTCAAAACGAGACTATTCAGAGAATCAGTGAGGGATCAGCATAGATGTACCACTCATCCTCACTTTTGTCAGTTTTGTGCATAGGAACTTGGGAAGGTCTTTTAGCAGACTTCGTGCAGGCCTTGCCTGTAAGCTAAGCTGGCTGATGCTGTCAGTATCCTCCGGGTTGAATTGTGAGGTCCCCGGCCTCGATACCAATTGAAAGGAATGTTTTTGAGTAAAAAAAAAAAACAAAAAAAAAAATAAAAAAAAATGATAATAATTCGGGGTTGCAGTGTTGACAATCAATCCCCTTGGCCAGTGCTGGTCATTCATCAATCTCGTGCTGCTGATATCATGCAAACGGGACGAACAATGCGCCCGCTTCCAAGCAAAGCTGCTCGCCGCGGATAGGCGATGACGTTTGGTGAATGTAGCAGCAACTCCGAGGCCCCGTGACCAGTGAAAGGGTCAGGTATTGTCCAGTGTAAGGGTCCGGTATTGTCCTTTCAGGTATTGTCCAGTGTAAGGGTCAGGTATTGTCCTTCATCGGCAAGAAACTGATGTCTATTCTGGCCCGGCTACTTCTCCGGAAGTCACGCGGGAGAGATTGCCCTTGCATTTGCGATGTGGAGTGTTTTTTTTTTCTTGGTGACTTTGCGCATGGCCCGTAACATTATTGGATACCTCCTTCGGAACGATGCATGTATGCGCAAGCAGGACACGCCCCCAAAATTAAAAAAAAAAAACGGAAAATGAGCGGCCAGATCCAGTCGTTCGTTTACAATCTGGCCGCTCACTTCGCCATTTCGCGATTTTGCGATCTTGCGATTTTGCGGGCCTTATGTGAGTACTTCGGGCCCTAAGCGAGGCTGATTGATGCACAGATGCGTGTACTTCGGGACATACGTTAAAATTGGAATGATACAGAGAGACAAGACTAGCATGGCCCCTGCGCGAGGATGATCCGCAATAATCGAGAAATGGTGCACACACGCGGCTGTTAGCAAACAGCTTATAGGCTCGTACCCAGGGAGCCGGGTGAACGTAGTAGTACTGTAGTAATGGCAAGGGCTACCCCTTTTCCTTTTTGTTTTTTTCTTCGTTGTTGTTTTTGACCTCTTTTAGAAAGGAGGAGAAAATGCGTGTGGACAAAAACAAAAACAGAAACAAAAACAAAAACAAAAACAAAAACAGAAACAGAAACAAAAACAAAAACAAAAACAAAAACAGAAACAGAAACAAAAACAAAAACAAAAACAAAAACAAAAACAAAGAGTCTGATTCCACGGGGGTCTGTTTAGTGACAGACTTGTGTATTATTCAGCCTCAGGACCACGTGCCGGGAGAATGGGGACTTTCTCTCCCCCCTTCCCACTGCGGAGGAAGCGGCCCGCCTCTCCACTCCCGCACCTCAGACCGATCGATCAAGAGAACGGCGGACTCCATAGGTATATAGCCTGTCTCTTATACACATCTAGATGTGTATAAGAGACAGCTCCCGCACCTCAGACCGATCGATCAAGAGAACGGCGGACTCCATAGGTATAAAGCCCCTCAGTAGGCGTACTCCCACCAGTCCAGCGTCGTCTCGCAATCCAACTCATTACGGATCGGTCCCCTTTTCCACCCCTCCTACCCATCAAGCTGCCATCGTCGGTGCTCCAGCCAGCATTAGCAATTTAGCACCAGCACGGTGGCGGAGCAGAGCAGATTTGAATCCCAGAAGAAGCAGAGCAAAGTGAGAACGGGGACGAGGATGGCGGCGACCGTAGATGACCTCTTGAGGCTGGAGATGCCTGCGGACGAGAAGCGCATCATTGCAGAGTATATCTGGGTGGGAGGGAGCGGTCTTGACCTCAGGAGCAAGCCCCGCACCCTGCCTGGTCCCGTCAAGTCGGTGTCTGAGCTTCCCAAGTGGAACTACGATGGGTCCAGCACGGGCCAGGCTCCCGGCGAGGACAGCGAGGTGATTCTCTATCCGCAGGCCATCTTCAGGGATCCCTTCCGAGGCGGGGACAACATCCTTGTGATGTGCGACTGCTACACTCCTCAGGGCGAGCCCATTCCCACCAACACTCGCTACGCTGCCAACAAGCTGTTCCAGCAGGCGCTGGAGACGGAGCCGTGGTTCGGCCTGGAGCAAGAATACACTTTGCTGGAGAAGGAGCACAAGTGGCCGCTGGGCTGGCCCGTCAATGGCTACCCCGGCGCGCAGGGSCCGTACTACTGCGGCGTGGGTGCTGACAAGGCGTGGGGGAGGCGCATCGTGGACGCCCACTACARGGCCTGCGTGTACGCCGGCATCACRATCAGCGGGACCAACGGCGAGGTGATGCCSGGGCAGTGGGAGTTCCAGGTGGGGCCGGCCGTCGGGATCGCGGCMGGGGACGAGCTGTGGGTGGCGCGGTACTTGCTGGAGCGGATTACTGAGATGGAGGGGGWKATTCTGTCCCTGGACCCGAAGCCCGTGSAAGGCGACTGGAACGGTGCCGGGTGCCACTGCAACTTCAGCACCAAGGCGATGAGGGAGGACRGCGGATGGGAGGTGATCATGGAGGGCGTGAAGAATCTGGAGCTGAGGCACAAGGAACACATCAAGGCSTACGGCGAGGGCAACGAGCGGCGGCTCACGGGCCGCCACGAGACGGCCAGCATGGACCGGTTCTCGTGGGCCGTTGCGAGCAGAGGGACGTCCGTGAGGATCGGAAGAGACACGGAGGCGAAGAAGAAGGGGTACATGGAGGACCGCCGCCCGGCGTCCAACATGGACCMGTACGTCGTCACCTCCCTCGTCTTCGACACCACCAYGCTCTGGAAGCCATTATAGAATGAGGTATATACAGTTACATAGTGTTTTTGTACGCATGTACGCCATCCCGCATACGGGTGATTGTACTACTTGCAAGACTATAGTTCGAATGTCTGGTAGATCGGTTCTGCGTAAGTTATAGTGTACTGCGGTCCTTGCCCTTCGTCTTAGCAGCTTGAAGGGTGAATTATTTTACAATGATGCATTCTTGAGATAATGTAGGTATATCTAGTCAGTACATGCCATTCAGAGTCGGTTCCGATAGTTGATTGTCTTCGAATTGTTCTTTGGATGAGAGAGAGAGAGAGAGAGAGAGAGAGAGAGAGAGAGAGAGAGAGAGAGAGACTTGTAGTTGAGGAATGAATAGTGCAATCGTTTCTGTCATAATAATTGGCAGGAGGACTGAGGTATGCAATTTCTGGTTATGTCCTCCACCTCGACATGGGGAGGCCACTGCCTTTCATCTTCGTTCTCTGGCGCCAGCTACCGAAGATTGGTGCTAGTTCTTTGTCTTAGGAGCGCGTTTTTATGAGGTGGATGCTTGTGACGACGTCCTGTTCCGGTTTGATAGTGTACATCTCCGTGTCTGTCTTCGTGACAGTATCTGTCGGTCTGTCTGTGGGCTTCTCTGCCCTTTTTTCAGTCATCTGATTGTAACCTCGTCTGTTGCTTGCTTGCGTAAACCGTCTTCCTATCAGTAAGAGTGTTTCTTTTTCTCCGGGCGTCTGCGTCAGGCTGGATCTGTCACTTTTTCTTTCGGTGCGCGTCCGTTCCTCCCCCCCCACCCTTCTCTCTCTCTCTCTCTCTCTCTCTCTCTCTCTCTCTCTCTCACACACACACACACACACACACACACACACACACACACACACAGACAGAGCCTCTCTTTTCCTCTCACGCGCGCTGGCGCGGTTTGGTTTTGTTTGCTTTGAGTCTCTTGCTGAGAGAAACTCTGTCGAGCCTTTCTAAGAGCAAGCTTGGCGCCCACCACCTAGAGATATGTCATTGGTTCCTCCGAGTGGCATTGAGAAAAGACTGCTGGTGTTCATAGGGGGAGGGGACCAGAGGGGAGGCACAGTGACTGACCCCTGACCGGTATTGCCCACCTATTGTAGCAGGTGTCGCACCTGCTGGTGTGTGCAGCTCCCTCATCTTCCCTCCTCGGAGGCTTGAGCACGGATGTGGCTGCTACAGGGTTCCCCGCAATTTCATAATGACAATATAAAAAGGCCTGAAAGGCCATCCTGTCCAGATTCGACCGCTATTTGAATTGGGTAGCCTTTTTTAAATAAATTGTTTTTTTTTTTTTTTAACTAATCTATATTCTTCTCTCAATCTTATTTGTATATATTTTCTTCATCTCATCCTGTCGCTACTCTATGTTCGACTATGTATAGTACGGGGGAACACCAACCACACCGGGAACTCTTCCCAGCCCATGGACCCAAGGGGTAGGTTGGCACCACGGCAGTGGTGCTAGAGCAAAGCTTGTATCAGCCCCTCATCACGATGATGCGGKKTGATCAGGCATTGCCGAYGGGGGAAACGGGCGATGCTCTTGCCAAGCATCTTTGGCCAGTCACATGCACCTCCCCCTAGCCCCCTCCAACCCCACATTTTGGAAAAACAAAAGTTGAAGGATTTGGGCCTCGTGCTGTGTGACCACGCCAGGCACACCATTTTGGCAATTGCCAGAAAGTCGGGCTCGTGTCTTTTGTGATTTGGGAATTTTGGGCCTCGTGCTATGTGACCGGGCGGGGTAGCATTTAAGCAAAATCGGGATAGGAAAATTGACAGATTTTGCTGCTATGCCACCGTTCTGAATTGCCTGGGGCGGGCGAGTTCAATGATGATATCTAAAGGCCATCGGGGAAAAAAAAAAAAAAAAAAAAAACACTTTCCTCGTGGGAGCTTTCCACCAATTATCTCAATTGTTGGGGAGAGCCTAGCTGATTCACCTTTGTGCAGCACTGCAGCTGCATTGGCATCCATGGCGCAACGACTTTGTAGACCTTTAGTGACTGTCTTGGCCTGCAATGACTATCTAGGCCTGGGAAAGCTTCCATTAATATGTAGGCCAGCAATGACTAGCTGTGTCTGATTCATACTGACCTGGATTGAGATGCTCATCTGATGCTTGGTTTTCTGTCGTTATGGTCGGATTGTCAACGTCATGTGTATGGGTGCGTTTGGTTGTCCATTTTTCTTCCTCGATGCGAAGCATAACCAGTCGAACTTGTTCTTCGAACTTGTGTTCATCCTTAGTGGCCTCTATCCGGAAACCTTGCACAAAGAACCCTAAGGGTTTTGAGGTTAAGTAAGTTCTTTTCACATCAGAGATTCATTGCCTAAGGGGGCAAAGAACATGCGTGGGCAAAGAAACCAGGCGCGAGTTTGATAAGGGCAATGAAAGTACGGTTGCCACGGTGTCAGGCCGGGTGTCTTCTTCTTCTTAATTGGTCCAATGGGCCACAGATCAGATATTAAGCTGATCAGAACAGGTACTAGACTTGATCTATTTTTAGCCAAAAGGCCCAGAAAGGTATTCGGGTGTCATATTTACAGCCTGAGGAGGAAGGGAGTGGAGCTGGAAGGGACAAAAGCCTTCTGCCAGACTGCTTCACAGTGTTCACACTGATCRTGTCCACATGTGGCAAATGACCTTTTATTCTTTTTTWATCTAGAAGTCCATGGTGTTGTAGAGGCCAGTCACTAAGTGCACAGTGATCACCTGGAGCAGTAGGCCGTGGGTGTCCTGGAAKATGAGACCACCTCCTATCCCATTCTCAGTTCAATACTCCTAGCGCACCCCCTAYCCCRCTATCCTACCTCAGTGTGACCAGCACTGAGGACCATTACCCTACCAATGGGCAGGTAACTTGGACCGAGCAGCAGTGATAGGCAGTGATAGGCACCAGGGCTGATAGGTTGCCCAGCCATGGTGGAAGYGGAATCGGACGAGCCTTGTCGAACGGGGACTTTGGACGCCAGGCCCAGCCAATCTACTACAGGCCCCAAGAGACTCTGGGCCCTAGGTTCAGACAGGGTAGCACCCATTGAAGCAGTCTTACCGTCCTTCCGCTAGCTTACCCAAGGCCAGGCGGAACTTGGACTGGCCTGAGCGACTTATACCCCTACCCTTAACCTAGGGTCTAAGCCTTACATAGCCACCAGACACTTCTATCCGGATATCAGTAGGGACTCCGGCGGCCCTTACCTGTACCTACTGCAGATACTAGACCCCACCCAGTGACTAGACCCCCCCAGTCTGATAGTTGTGACGTTCGCAATCTATGTGTATACCSGAAGGCTRTGTATGCTCTGTCTATCTATGTATCAAGATGTACAGACAGCACCATGTGTGGGARCTTGTGTATGTAGCCCGTAGGCCATGTATAATTTGCAACCCAATAAAACCTATGTATATGCCCGAAGGCTGTGTGTKCTCTGTGAATCAATGTATCCAGATGTATACTAGGCAGCATCATGTGTGTATATCGAAGAGAGAACSGGKTAAGCTGCACAAGGACCCCCCCATGGTCTGAACGAAGCCTGAACCCGTGCCCTTGTAACATGTAATCGAAYGACTCTACCATGTGAACTACTAGCGGAAAGGGCACGAACGTGTGATATGCCAGACAGGGGAGATCAACAGAACACCCAAGACCAACACCCTCAAGCAACCCATGTGAAACCCAGAACCAACATGGTGCAACACCATGAACAACCGTTGGGTGGTGCGCAGGCAGTGCAGTACTACAAAGTTGGTTGACACCGACTATTCTTCGGAGGAAATGTCCACGGCACGGGCAAGTCCAACGCAAGTCCGGTCTCAGAATGCGAATCCTGATCAGAGTCACTATACGTCGGAATCGTCTGGCAGAAGTGATGCAGAGAACATGGCAATACTCGAAATTTTGCCAGCGCCTCTACCAGGGGAAAGAAGACCGTATTGCATGGCTAATAGGAACGCTAGGAGGAAAGAACAATACAAAAGAGCAAAAGACATGCTATTAATTGCTCATGGTTCGTGGCATGGCATGTTGCAAGGCTCGCTGTTGTGACAACATACCGCCGGAGCAAGTCCGACAGGTTAGACAAGGACTGTACAGTAAGAGTCCAGAAGAGCGAGCAGAGTGGTGGATGAAAAGTCTTAAAGATTTCACATTGAGTGAGGGCGGACACAAACGAGTCCATCCTGTAGAGTTGGAACGTTCGATGTGTGTCAAGGCGAACTGCAACGTTCTTGGTGTCTCTCGTAATACGTTTTATAGTTACAAGAACCACTTCGATAATGGCTTCATACGTTGTGAGCATGGGTTGAGGGGTAGACATCAGCCAACAGAAAAGACGGTCGCCATGCTTGCCAGCATGAAAAATTTCATCGAGTGTCATGCGGATAGCATGCCGAATGAGATGGCTCACAAAGGTGGGGTTTACAGACCGAAGCTTCGACTGCCAGCAACTTTTACGAAGAGATCTATTTATGAGTGCATCAAATYAGACTTTRTCGYCGTCRGCCTYKAGGTTGTGTYTKAGTCCAACTTTTATAAACTGTGGCAAAAACACTATTACCACGTTTCCCTCGCACACTTTAACACATTCACGAAGTGTGCCGTCTGTCATGAACAGAAAGAGCGTATACAACACGCTGCTCTTCCTCGAGATCGAGAAAGAGCTAGGGATGAGATGAAAGCTCACCAAAGGCAGCAAGTTGAACACAGATTGGACTATAGTCGCGCGAAGATTAAATCGATGGTCCGTCCCAACGAGCGTTTATGTCTCATCATTGACGGCATGGATCAGAAGAAGATGACTATCCCCCATATTGGTCAGGCGAACTACTCGAAAGACCTTAGGCACGAGACGATGATGAAAATGACTCTGACCGATGTCATTGCACGCGGTAGAGACCCTCGTATTAATGTGTCCACGTGGTTTCCGTATTTCAAACACGATTCGAACACAGTCGTTACTTGTCTCACGCGAACCCTCGTCGAAATTCAAGCGACTGGGGGGTCACTACCACTCTTTTTGCGCATTCAAGCAGATAATTGTTGGCGGGAAAACAAGAACAAGTATGTATGTGCACTGGCTGCACTGTTGGTGAAGTTCAAAGTTTTCCAAGAGGTGGAAATAGGTTTCATGCTGATGGGACATACCCATACGGACATTGATGCTACTTTCAGTGTCTTCTCGAAGAAATTGAAAGACACAGACGCTTATACTGTGGACGAGTTGTTTGAGCTCATAGAGCAATCCCACAAAAAGCCTCCCAAATGTGTTTTTCTCGACACATTGGCAGATTTTATTAGTATAGTAGACCCATGCGTTGCATCAGACATTACCGGTATTTCCCAACCACACTTGCTTAAATTTTTGATGGTTGGAGATAACCCGGGCATGTTGTACAAGGAGTTTTGCGATAACGACAACTGGCTGTCCGAGGAAGGTCCGATTTATTGGTTCAATCAGAACCCCAATGGAAGCTACGCAGGTCCTTCGTGGCCATTTGACCCACCTCCCGCGAAGCCTGTTCCTCGGAAACACTATCTGAATGACAAACATGGTGTTATTCGATTCCGCGAGTTGCTGCAGAGCAGGCGGTCAACATGGTGCACTTTCAACGAACATGAGGTGAGTCAAGGAGAAAGAGCTTTGTGGTACTGGGACGAGGTTATCAAACGTGGCGACGAGATCATCGCGAACGGGTTGTYCACACAACCTCRGGAAGKTTTTTGGCCAAACCCTCGTCCCCTCGAAAACGATCAACAATCTTTTCCCAGTAATGCCAACATCGACGACAAGGAACCGCTGTTTGTTGGACGTAGAAAAGATCGCCCGAAGACCAGTTTCGACCCCCTCGAGCATATCAACGTCGACACTTTTCTTATCCTTCGCCCCTCCAACGACGATATTTCGAAAGGCGTGCCTATTTGGGTGGGAAGAGCATAATCGCGGGTGGTTCGTGAAAAGGATTTGCCAAATTGTAATGAAGTGCTCGTGGAATACTTGGTGTCAACCGAGAGAGCAAAGTCGCTCGAAGAATTGTACGATAACGCATGGGAAAAAAGATGGAAGAAGACTGACCTGACACAATGGCAACATGCCGACTCCATCACTTTTGGTTGGGAGAGGTCAGGTAGAGGTACAAAGTCGTTCACGAATGGACTTGTCATTACTTCCAACGTTCGACTGAACGCTGAAGCTGCACTTCGAGATCTAAGTCCATGTGCGAAAGGGAATGACTGTTCGGATGGGAATTAGGAACAGACTATATTCTCTTTTGACTTGGTGAATTGCGACGAGTCTTTTGTACGACGAGTTAGCAGATTTTGTACACAGTTTAGGGTTGATGTTTTTCGGATGGTTGGGTGGTGGTTAAGCAATTTCTGAAGTTAACTTCATCATGTGTTGATGTTTCTACTTCACCGACATTTCATTTTCGCTCGTGTGTGCATGTCACGTATTGTGTAGGCTGTGCGACAGAAGAAATGAGACATGATTATTCGTATCCCATTCGCCCTTGCGCATGTGGATTGCGTGGTTCTGAAGAACACACAGAAATTATGTAGATGCTCGGGGACGCTTGTAGATGCTTTACATTTATGTATGATAGCGGGAACCGTTTCGAAAGTTTAGATTGCGGCGGCTCGTAGCATTTAATTTAGACACAACATTCGTAGTTTAATCTTGTTACGATATTTCTTGAAGTGCGACGGAATTCATGGTACTCACTTGATTTGAAGTTCATGATAATGCTATTTCAGTTTATAATAATTTGCGGAAGTGCGACGGAATCCATAGTACCTAAACCATCTCGTTTGCCATCTCGTTTGCCGTGTGATTGCATCAATTATTCCGTTGACATCCAATTTTTGCTTGACACAATGTCATGTCAAATACGCCCCACTCAAAATTAGTCAAAATTCATGCAGACTCTGATGTCATTCAAAACCTTCTCGTTCAATGTCTTATTACGTGCACCTTCCAGTGTCAGCGAATTTCAATGTATGACAATGACATGCCGGTAATGTCTTTTAAGTAACATAAATTATCGAAGTGTGATGGAATCCATACTTAACTCTAAGGCAATCAGATGGTAAGCCGTGTGATTGCCTTAAAGTTAACTCTTCGATTGAGTTCCAATTTATGCAAGTCCACCAGTTACGTCTTTTAAGTTACATAAATTATTGAAGTGCGATAAAATTCATACTTAAACCATCTCGTTTACCGTGTGATTGCCTTCAAGTTAGTCTTCCATAAAGTTAGTCTTCCATAAAGTGCCATGGAATCCATACTTAAACCATCTCGTTTACCGTGTTATTGCCTAAAAGTTAGTCTCGAAGTTCGATAAAGTTCCAATTTATGGATGTCAATTACCGTAACGGCTTTTAAGTTACAAAATTTAGGGAAGTGCAGTGGAATCCACACTTGAACCATCATGCTCGGTACGTGATTGCCTTGAATCTTCAGTTCAGTTTCGATTTATGGCCTCTCAATTGCAATCATCGGGTTCAATACTCGTAGCCCCGAGTTCCATTTAAGTCTAAAATATGATCATTTTAACATGAAATTTAAAGCTTGCGAGTACCAATTTAAAATACAATGTCCTATTTAAAAAAAAAACATGTTGACAGTCCGTCGTTCCGCACCAACCCACGAAGTCGTCACCGTGCTTAGTCCTCCTGCACCCGTCAGGTTTGCTCGGGCACTACAGTCCGTAGTAGCCCCACGCGTCAACCCCTCGCATTCGGCACCAGCTCGTCGGGTCGCCTGACTCCACTTCAACTCACCTCTTACTTCGCTCGTGAGCTGCCCCTCACTGATCACGCTACCCCGAGATTCCAACAATTGGTTAAGAGAGCTATCTAATCGCGCAGCCAAAATTTATAGCGTGCATGCATACGCGAAGAACACGAAATTGCAAAGAAAATTTCAAGGACTTAGAAAGGGGATTAGGAGAGGGAGCGCCTACGTTCTGCATGGCAAGACCACGGCGTGGGGGACGTCGCCACTCTCCACGCATTGATCCGAGCATGCAGGTCGCGGGGCCAACCAGGCACAGCAAAAAGGAAAGAGAGGGCGGGAAAGACGAAGCTCAAGCAGAAAGATACAGTTACAATGGTGCCCGCCCAAAAATTACAGTTCCTTGCAAGATTAAGGGCGCCGACTAATCAGAGCTCCGTTGTAGCCGCAAAAAGAAGCGCGCAAGTAAGACAGCGCACGACAAAAGCAATCTCGAATTCCTAGATTCCTAAATTTCTAAATTCCTAGCTGATGTAAAAAGAAACACAAATTCCGAAAGGAAAATCCGAAGTTCCGAGAGCCGTCAAGGGCTTGACAAGATTCGAAAAAATTCAAAGAGAACGAAGCAAAATTCCCGCGCGACCTCCGCGCCTAAGACCCGACAACAGAACAAGAAAGAAGCGATGCCAAACATTATCCAATTCTGAAGTTGGTCGTATTCTCCTAAGTAGCTCAAATTGTCTTTTTCTTAGCCAAAGCCGGGCAAAGGCCCCGGTAAAGTGCTTGTTTTTTCTATTAAAAAAAATAAAAAAAATAAAAAAATCAAAGTTCGATGCAAGTTTCCATATGGGACGCTGGGCAAGGTTCTGAGCACGTGCTGCTCCCCACGAATAGATTAAAAAAAAAGAAAAAAAAGGATGCGGGTATAAAAAAAGAAGAAAAAGGAAAAGTGAAAAAAAAACTGGATGTCCCCAAGGATGTAGGTAGGAAAACTGGCAAAGTCAAGTTGAGGTGGAGTTTTCTTCTGTCAAATCTTTCATCATCTTTCACATTCTTTCAATTCACCTTCACCACCTACCTAAAACATAACGTTGTTGTCTCCCTCCAGCCATTAGAGGGCATGCATATTGCTCCCCCCCCCCTTAACCAAAGGCGAGTGGAGTTTTCCAAAAGAAAAGAGAAGGACAGGACATTTGATTTCGCGGCCCGCACCCACCTGAGGAGGCTGAGTCTGATTTGGAGTATCAGTGGATCTTTCGATCTTGAGATCTCACGGCGAGTGTCTGACGACGTTGAAAAATACCAGACACCTGAACTAGACCTCCGCACGAGGGGCACGAGCGAGGTAGGGCCTCGCGGCACTACTCTTGAAAGGTGCAAAACGAGAGTGAATCTTCAGCTAGAACATGGAAAGATACAGCGACATGATTTTTGTCTTTTGTGCATTTCAAGAGTAGTGCAGCGAGGCCCGTAGATTCGTCATGGAGAGGGCGTGTGGGCGACATGAGGGAAGACATCCCTGACGAATCAGAAGGAATCAGTCTACAAATACAGAGACCACTCAGCCGAGAGGTACAGAGAAGCTGTCGTATGATCCGCCTTTCCTCCAACCAAGTGCCTGAAGTGATTGCCATCGCTGAGTCCATATCAGATTCGGGAGCAAGGAAGGAAGGAAGGACGGAAGGAAGGAAAATGGCGCACGTTGGCAAGTACGCGGACGAGCTCATCGCCACGGCGAAGAAAATTGCGACCCCTGGGAGGGGTATCCTCGCCGCTGACGAGAGCACGGGCACCATCGGGAAGAGACTGGCCAGCATCAACGTGGAGAATGTGGAATTCAACAGGAGGGCTCTGAGGGAGCTTCTCTTCACCGCTCCCGGGGCGATGCAGTACATCAGCGGCGTGATTCTGTTCGAGGAGACGCTCTACCAGAAGACGGCAGACGGGAAGCCTTTCGTCGATGTCCTCAAGGAGGCCGATGTGGTGCCTGGCATCAAGGTCGACACCGGCGTTGCGGCCCTGGCAGGCACGAAGGGCGAGACCACGACGCAAGGGCACGACGGATTGGGCGCCAGGTGTGCCAAGTACTACCAGGCGGGCGCGCGGTTCGCCAAGTGGCGCGCCGTCCTGAAGATCAGCGCAGACGGATGCCCTACGCCTCTGGCAATC